CAGTTAGGCACGAAAGTCGAGAATCGCCCGTATATATTTTAGACATAAAACAGAAGAAAAGAATGTGAAATATACGCAATTCTTTCATATGTAATGTTTATTATCCTCCGTCACTGCCAATACTGATTATTAGTATAACAATGTAACAATTAATTTGTGACAATAATAATCAGATGAACATAATTTTAAAAAAGTACGTGTATAACACGTGTACATACATATAATATAATATTCTATAAAAATGTAATACTCTAAAATTTTTTAAATTCCATGCTTGAAAAAATATTGAATGCAAAATTTCGCTATTCTACATCCGCCCTGTTCATTGTCAAAACTTCTCGAAGGTTAATTGAAATCTTTTTAACCTGGCCAAAATCGATTTTACACCGCGTTTACTTTTACGTTGAATTCTGCTAAATTATTCTTTCTCTATCTAACAAGCATGCGTTGATTTAAATTCAATTTTTGTCTTTTCTCGAAACGCGTGAGAAAGGAACGCGAGTTTCGAAGAAGTTTGGAGAAAACTCCGGTAGCGGAGTGATTCGAAGCTGCCGTTGACAGCAGAGAATCACTCAAGGTGAAGAATCGCGCGAGGAAAATTCGCGTTACGCCTCGACACGAGCGATTGTTCTCGAGCTGCCCTTGTACCTACGTACGTATGCACTTGGGAAGAATTCAAGCTGCGTGCACGCAAGCAAACTGAAATTGATGATCCGCACTTAGCAGAGACACTGGCCGGAGAAAACCTTCGCGTGATGCCGAGCCGAGGAATTATTATATACCTGGCGAATTGTTTTTCTTCGATTTATAGGCTCATTGCGGATCATTGCGTTCAGCGAACCGCCTTCTGGCTGCCCCGAGCGATCGTCCGAACGATCCTCTAATTTCTTCGTCTGTCTCCGCTCAGTGTTTTGAATCGAACCGTTTCTTCGATCAACCGACGCCTCGCGCGCCAACAGGAAAATGCGTGCAGAGAGCACTGTAAACAGCACCTGTAACACAACAAGTCAAAGAACGAAAACTGCGTCGGGCAGGAAACGCTCGCAATTCGCCACGCGAACGTTCCGCGTTTTTCCAGAGCATCCGCCCCGATTTTCCCATGAACGTGACACACCGCCTGTGTTTCCAGCCTGCACCTCTTCGATCGAGCCAATTGCCCGGAAACGGGGGGGGGGGAAAAAATGAAGAGCGTCGACTGAAATCGGGTCGACGCAC